TTCTAAACCGACTCAATTTAATTTTTAGGTTCCTCGTCAACCCGATAATATTGAATGTGAATATTATGTACTTCATTTTTTGCGAGAGATTTTGTTACATGATTTTATGACCACACCATTCAAGGTTAGTATAAATTTCATAAACTCATTATATATTAAAAAAAATGGAACATTATGTTCTCATTTCTTAACATTTACGTCTGATTTTTTTTTTAGTAAGAGGGTAAAGAAAGCTTCGCAGAAGAGGAACTGGATGAAATCTGTAAAGAATGGTGTGATTATGTATTGTCATTTATCAATGTTGATAAACTTTCAAGTTAGACATTGTTGGTTTATTGTAAATATATATGGAACAAATTGTTATAATGTTGTTAACATGCAATGTTGAATGGAAACTTTAAGTTTGTACATTAGGGCCGGGTATTGGTTTAATATTATTGATATACTTAATATGAATACACTATATGTAATTATTAAATTACTTAGTACGATTATTTTAGAAAAGTATATTAATATGGCAACATTATCAGTTTTAATTTTGGATGTGTGATAAATTTTTTAGAATACAACAATGTTCATTATGTAAATTTAAAAATGTAATTCATAGTATCAGATATATAAACCAAATGGTTTTTGGGCATAAATATACAACTAACAGCAAATATTTTTCTAAGCATAAACGTACAACTGACTTCACATATCAATTATGTTTATTTGATGCGATTAATGAAGGCATTTTTAGCAAGAAAACGCCTTCATTCACCCCTACAAAAATATTGAAGGCGTTTTTTTATCAAAATTACCTTCAATAATCCTCTCAAAAAATTATTGTCTGGAATATTAAAGGTATTTTGGGTAAAAAACACATTTAATAATATCAACTAAAAATAAATCGAATGGTTTATGAATGGCATTTTCCTATGGGTAACGCCTTCAATAATCCTAACAAAAAGCTATGAAGGCATTTTTTGATATAGCCCCCTTCAATAATCCGACCATTAAATATTATCCATGCGAATATTAAAGGCGTTTTGAGCCAAAAACGCCTTCAACCATCCCATCCAAGTTTTGTCTATGGAATATTGAAGGCGTTTATTATAAAACCACCTTTAAAAATTCAAAACAAATTTACTGGATTATAGAATGCGAGTTCGGCCAAAAACGCCTTCAATAATCGATCCCATATTTTTTTTATCGATTATTAAAGGCATTTTTCAATGAAAAATGCCTTCAATATTCTATAATAAATTTTTTAAAGCAATTGGTGAAGGCGTTTATGCCAAGAAATGAGTAGAATAATCAATAACAAATAATATGTGTCTAAACCCAAAAAAAAAGCTTGAATGATGGATCAAACCAACAATCTTATGGTAATTAAACATCCGTACGATCCTAACAATTTGATAAGCTTAATATTGGTTGAGTTTTTGAAGAAAATAAATTTAATAAGAGTGGAAAATTTTTTTACCTAAATTAACATCATTTCTTGTAGACAACGCCTTCTTTAATCTCATACAATTTTTAATGACATGATTATTGAAGGCGTTGTTTGTCAAAAATACGTCTTAACTATTCATCAAAATTTTTAATAAAAAATATTCAAGGTGATTTAGTAGAGAAGCGCCTCTAATATCAAGTCTTCGGTGATGTTTATAAGTAACAACGTCACTATTTGAATATTTAGTGGCGTTTGGATAATAAACGCCTGAAATTTTGTAAAAACACGAAAGCTAGCGACGTTTGTAAGTGAAAGGCCGTTATAAAACTGCCGTTAATACGCCATTTTGCTATAGTGTAGGTTCTCCATATAAATATATAAATATATATAGTATATCTTATTTAAATTTTTTAATAATGTGAGATTTTTTACTTACATATAAATTTTATCTCAATAATTTTTTTCGTTCACTTGTGAATTTTGATCAAGTCCCACTTCGGTTAAATCTTATCAACACCTCATTTGGATCAGGTAACTGTTAGAAAAATATATATAAGACAAGATAACTAATAGAAAAAAATTTTGGTTTTGAAGTGTGAAAGACACTTTCTTAAAGGTAATTATGTCTTTATGATACAATAAAGCATCAAACTCTCTAATCAAAAGCAGTAAAAATAATTATACTAAAAGATTTGTTTATAATGAATAAACAGACATAAATTTCTATTCAAATGATTATGACCTTATATATAATCATGACCTTATATATAATCATGACCTTTATGAATAATAATCTAATAATATTCAAATAGTTAAGACCATTTATTATATGATAATAGTTTATGTTTCAATATAATTATTTAAAATATAAATAAAATCAATACAAAAATTAATTTTATTCATCAATGATTAAATCTTTCTATCTAATATGAAATACATCACATTCTAAACTACCAATAACAATCTCATGTCTTGGATGGTCTCAATGTACCTTGAGCCCACCATACAACCTTGCCACTCTGTGGGTCTAAGTTATCTCAATACCTCTCAAACTTGAACTTAATCATAACACATAATCTTGCCACCTATGTTGTATCAGTGCCTCTCAAGCTTGCAATCAATCATAGTCTGGACTCAATCTTGCTCTCCATCACAGGTTGACTCAATATATCCCCCACTCGAGTGTTTCGATTCTACATATTATCATATACTCGTTATAATCCAAGTTAAAATTTGAGCTCTGATACTAATTGATAGAGAAATAAGTCACACATGAAGCTTTCCAAAGCACATACATACATGTTGAACATTATTTGAGTCCAAAAATTTAAGCTATTAGATTTTTAACTCTTTCGTATACATATAAAATATTTCATTTAAATTTTTTAGTAATATAAATTTTTTTATTCACATGTAAATATTATCTCAATAAATTGGATATACAATGGAATAACAAATTTTTTTTTTTTCAAATGATTAACTTTCGTTGCCTCTTACTGCTCCTAGTGAAAATGATGGAGAAGAAAAATGGTAAAAAAATTAGTAATTTTTTATGTTCAAGTGGTGTTCTTCTAGATGATGTGAAATATTGAGCCAAACAATATAAAAGAAAAAAATTGTGATTTTGTTGCTTCTGTACAGAGGTTTCGGCCTGTCAAAGCTCGAGCTAGCATATAAAAGATTGCTTGAGTTTAAATATAATATAAAACTGTTGATAGAATGTCAAATTATTTTCAATGCTCAATTTAATTTTTGTAACTTTAAATATTAAAAAAATAATTTTTTTATTATGCATTAATTTATACGAATGTTTTTACAAAATATGTATATATAATGAGAGGTAATTTTTTTCTCATATCTCTCATTCTACAATTCAAACTCAAAATTACTAAATTAGATCTTAGATCTTTTTTCTTTCCTTTATAAAATCTAACATTTCTGGATGATTGGACATGGGTTAAAAACACGAAACAAACAAACAAACCCAAGCCTGGGTTCCAACTGGGCCTTTCGCTTTTAGTCGCCCACTTGAATCCATATGTCAATCCTAAATGCCTAACATTGATAGACTTGGTTAGCTTGTGCGGTTGGGGGTGGAAACCACCACGGAGTCTGTCAAAGTTTCATCAACATTTCGTCCCATTCAAGTGGTTTCTATACTCAAATCAACATTACAAGTAACTTTAATTCCTGTATGATCATGAAAGAAATTTCATTATTTGGTTCCCTTCACTCAAAGATGACTTGAATGCCTCTAATTGCATAAGATTGTTATAAATGGGCAGTTGGATTAGAGTTAATGATGATTGTTGTCTATGGTGATGCTGATGAACTGATCACAATCAAAATCAACAATATCCTTTTCAAAATCTGCCGCAGATTTCTTCAATTTTATTTGTCTTCTCCAATTAGTACTTAGATTCTACGCTTCCTTTATGTCTCTACGCGTTGTTTGATCTTTTCTCGCCAGCTATTGAAATGCAAAGCTATAGCTTATTGATTTGTTACAGGTTCCTACAGAGTAGCCCAACGAGGAAAGAAATTAATATTTCCAGGTTAGGTCACTTTCATTTCAAACAATAAACAAAGAAGAGTTGGCCAGAATTGCATCAAAATTATGTCAGAACGTGCCTTCATGTTTAAGCAACAACGTGCTCCTAACTTCACATTTTCTGTCATATGAAAATCATTCCTGATTTCACGTTGCTTTTCTTTTATTCATTTATCTTTTTGTTTATTTCACGAAAATTCTTCACTTGTAAGGATTAAATTTGACATATAGTTTTTGAGTTTTAACCTTATAAATTTTTTATAATTTAAAATGTGATACCTTTTATATTGAATAAAAAAATTATTTATATATAATTTAAAAAAATTACATATTTAATTTAAATAATTAAATTAAATGTTGAAATGGATTAAGTCATTCGAGTTTGTTAAGAATTTTTTTAATAGGTAAAAAAATTTAAAAAGATAAAGATTACTGAGCTTATTTAGTAAATAAATTCATTATTTAATTTTTTATTTATTAATTTTTTAAATATTTATAAATTATTAAATATTATTTATTTTGAAAAAATTTATATGAACAAAAATAATTATTTTATGACAAAACAAAATATCATAAGTTTTTATAATTATTCAAATAATTATAATTATTTAAATAAAAATTTTTTATTATACAAATTATCATAACTATTTAAATAAAAATTATTAATTATTAATTTATTATAAATAATTTTTTCTATTAGACCAATTTAACTAATTCTGATTCAAAAATTTTAAAATGTTATTATATCTTATAAACATAATTACTTTTAAAATAATATCTTTCACATCTCAAAATTATTTTTTCTTTTTTCTTATTTTTCCTATATTCTCAAATTTTCTAACATAAACAGTACCAAAAAAAAAAAAAACGTATACAGAACTTTTACACTCATTTTCTTTATACCTTTGACAAGAATCGGAGAAGAAATGAACCAAGAAGGTTGAAATGCTTTAAAAATGCATGTGCTTTGCACCTATAATCCAACTTCCCAAATTCTTAATGCATTACAACTTTTGATTAATCAATCTTATCCAATTCTCACCCATTCCGGCCCAGTCAACATTCCAGGCAGCTGGAATTGAAAATTCTTTTTAATGAAGTGTTGGCCAAGTCTCCCCCCACCAAACTTGCTTCTAAAACTAAAACACAAAAAGACGTTCCTTCTCTTTCTTTCTTTCTTTCTTTCTTTCACTCCCTTGATGCAAAGTCGATGCCAAAAGAAACAAAACCTTGACATTCCAAGTTCCCACCAATCAACTCTCACCACATAATCAAATATCATCCTCACGTGACCGAAAAACTAAACACGAAAATACAATTTCCATATGGTAAAGCAACACATTCTTTCTGTCAAGTACAAGAAACGAATCACTTCGTGACTTCAGCCGTTCATCTCTTTTCAGAGATCCTTCTCAGTTCTCATCTGGTCACCCATAAAACGACACATTTTAACGTACAATTTTCTAGCAGAGAACTGAAAATACCAAAAGACTAAATTATCCTTTTTGAATATTATGTTTTACGCCAATTTTTTGGCTTTTTTTTCTTTGGCAATTGGCATTGATTACTAGAATCAGGGAAGCTATAACGTGGATGTCGAGGAGAAAGCTGAATCCGTATCTTTGTTTTTGAGATTTTGTGGGGCTTGTTGATGGGTTTGTAGTAATACTAACTCTCTCATTTTTCATTTTTTTTTAAAGATTTTTTTTATTGAATTTTATTAGACGATAAATTTTGAAATTTGCTCTCTGGGTTTCTTGACTGATTTCATTTTCCCTGTGGGTTTCATTTTTCATTGAATTTTATTCAATTTTCAATTCAATTCCTTAGAATTTTGATTAAAAAAAATGAAGTTATGGTTTTGACATTGGAATTGGGTTTAACAGTAAAGTACGCCTCTTACTAGATTCTTTATGGATATTCTATTTCAGAAAGTGGGGTTTTTAGTTCTTGTAAATATTGGTTTTTTTTTTTCTTTTTGGGGTTTAATATTGTGTGAGAGGGTGGAAAAAATGTCTGGTGGGACACCAGTTGCTGGTGGATATATGAGGCAAAGGCATAGTCAAGGATATGCATCAGGCAATGAGGACCTTGAGGATGATGCTTGCTCAAGGTTACAGCCTATGTCACTGGAAACTCCGAGAACTAGAACTTGGACTGAGATTCTGGAGAATGTGCTTTGGGTTGGTTCAGCATTGTTCATTATCTACTTTGGTGATAGGCACTACAATTTGATATATCTATTGTGGCACGATGAGCGAATCAGAAGGTGATTTACTGGATTGAATTTTAACTTGGTGTGCTTTAAAATACTCATATTTTGCATTTTATGTATGATTTATGAGATTTTGTTGTTAGTTATGTGTTTATGATTCTTGAATCCTGTTGTTTTTCTTTTGAATAATTGCTAATATGCTGTTCTATATAATTACGGTAACTGAAAACTTATCATGGCCCTTGACAAGGTTCATTATTATGTTTACTTTGGTTGCTTCAATGTCAAAGTGCTTGGAACTAATTAAAATTGTAACTGAAATGGGAGAAACTGGTTAAAGATAAAAACAACAATTCCAAAGATCTCCTTAGATTGTTGGAAATGCTGCTTCAATTGGTTTAAAAGTCAAAGTGCTTGAACCACTAAATTGCTGGACAGAAAAGTGGAACTACATTGTTGTTCCAGAGCTCCTATCCATTTTAAGTGCTGCTTTTTACTTTGTTCTTAAATCTAATTTTATAGTTAATCTTTTGGATTGCTGAATGATTGTTTTTGTGCCCAAGATCTGTTCATATCAATTTAAGCATGAAGTTTATGTACATAACACAGGATAAGGCACTTTTAACTAGGGACGTTATAATGGACATGACACTAGACAAACTAAAGGCAAGTATGTTTTTATCTAGCTAGTTCTCTTGTTCGAATACGTTGAATTTTACTAGTATCACCTTGTAAGCTGTGCTGCACATATCATTCTGTACTATCTATTATGTTAAAGAACCAGAATATAGATCATGATATAAATAGCTATTAACGTTCGAAATCAGCGAGATCTAAATGTATGAATATTGTACTCATGCAGGATCATACATTTGAAGTACCTTTACGTGGCTCTGACATTATGTTTGACAGATATATGGACATGTTGAAAACATTGCTAGAAAAGTGAAATTTTATCCTATAAATCAACTAAAAGCCTACTTGTGAGAATCTTTGCATTTAAAACACAATTGTCCTGGGTTCTGACAATTGACTTATAAAAGTTATGGCTCCAAGCATCTTCCTGTTGTACCATCAAGAAAGTGTCACCATGATCAGTGATCACTTCCTAATGTAATGGAGTTTATGGGTTTGTTAGGAACTGGGATCATAAATTATTGAATTTGTGCAATAAATGCAATTCACTTTTTCTTCTTCCCACCTCTTCAATGATATCATTTACCGATGGAAAATTACTGCTAGCATCTTGGCCCCCATTGAATTAGAATAGTTATTATTTTTTTTCTTTCTTTTCCCCAGGACTTTTTATGTTAAATTGGAGAAGTTATGAGTTTGTGCTTTCACCTCAAGGGATGTTCCACGCTCTTAACATTTGTCCGGCTATCTCCTGTGGCTGTGAATCGAACCTAACTGATTTCAGTGTCTTTCTATTTTATCTAACATACAATGGATAAACTGTCTCTATCGCATATCTGACAATCAAATTTTAATTATTTTTTTGGTAAATTTTGTGATTACATGATTTATTTCATTTTTCATTCATCAAAAAGCTGGCTTAACTTTTGAATAGTCCCAGTAGTGCTTTTAGTTATGAGTTGCAACATTTGCTCCATTCGCTGTTTACATAGTGAATTTTTTACTCTTTGTAGTTGCTCAACATTCAGATACTGTGTATATATTCATGGATGTGATTCTGCTTATATCTCCAATTATCTATTTCATTTAATTCCCGTGCAGAATGCCTTTATACCTTGGCTTGGTAGGGATTGGATTGAACGTTGCCATCTTCTTTTGTACGAGTATGCTAGCGTGGCGTGCAAGAAGGTGTGACGAAAAGTGGGAATTGTTAAGCATTACAGCTTTGCCATTTCTTACCTTGCTCGGACTTGTCTCCTTTTGTTTGTAAGGGAAACAATTGTGTTATTTCTTCATAGATTTGTTGGGTGGAATATGTACAATTTCTTTTCATGTTTTGCTAACATTTTTCATGCAGGCTCTGCTTTGCTCTGTGGCCTATTTGGGGTTTCCTATCCCTTCCTCTTCTGGTGCATTTCACGGCATATATTTTTTTGTTTTCACTTGACTGATATTTCACCTGTGGAAACTGTCTAATTATTATTATTATTTTGAACTTCTGCAGTTCACGCTGTTTATGGCTGGCTTGGTTGCATATCCTCATATCATGATTAAGACATTGAGGCCACAAAATGATATTTCCCGCATAGATTAAGCATTTCTGATATAAAAACACAGTACAGACTTGCATGAAGATACTATCTAAAAGATGGATGGTTGGCAGTATCAGCTATTGACTGGAGTTTTTTCAGCATTCTGCTTTGCTTCTCGTGACACTTTTTGGCTTGTTGGTGCCGATGATGACACAGCTGATTGTCTTTAATCAGTCTGATTTTACATTTGCAATGTCGACCTTGCCTTGATGTTGCTTGATGCACCTTGTTATTGCGTCTTAGGATTTTGAGTACTATTATCAAATATGGGGGGCAGGTCTCTTCTACTTTTTAACTTATGTGTTCGTCTGATGATATTGAGGCATCATTTAGTGATAGACAGGATTGTTCTTTCAGATGAAATTCTTTTATACTGAACCACATCTGTTTTGCAGAGAAGGATCTGAAATGAAAAGGATATACCGAAAAGAGCATGGTTTTTGTATTACAGGGAAATTTATCCTCTCTTGTTTCGTGACTTTCCCCCTTGTTGCTTAGTTGCAAGTACTGGTGGATGATTTCATAATATTGCGAGATGTTGGACTCATTCAAAGAAGGTTCTTACAAATGAGGGTCCGTTAGGGATGTATTCATAAAACGTTACCCACGATGTGGTGGGGTGGTTATGCTTGACCAATTTAAATACTGAAAAATCAGAAGTATTTCGTCATACTTAAGATCTTGAAACATGATAAGCATAATCAAATACTAACAATATCCCAAAGGCCGAAAGTGAAATCTTGAGCCTGACATGCATTTGAATTTTTTTTCTTGGATTTCGACAATGTTCGCTTTCCAAACGTAACAAAACATTTTCATCCACAAAAAGAAACGAAAAACTTAGCAAAGCATTAGTTTAATTGATAGAGAAGAATGATGAATAGACACTTCATCAACTCCAATATTCCTCTGATGTCTTGTAGACCTTGTCTTCTCCGAAGAGAGGAGTAAATGATGAATAAATAAAGACATGGAAACAAATTGGCAAGAATCCTTTATCTCTACAATCCTACAATTCATCGAGTTGGTGATGGGTTGGCTGATAATAGTGATATAGTATTCATTGTTGAAGCCATCCATAGTTTTTGGCTCATTTTTTTTTCCTCTTGCCATACGCTTGATATTCATTCTAGATGCTATAGTTGTCCCCTAATCCAAATGTCTGAGTCCAAGAATTCAGAAAAAAAAAAAATTAAAAGGGTTCAGCGAGGTGATAATTATTTGTACTCTTAGGTAATGCCTAAACATAGTTTATCTGGCACAGCAATAGCAACAGCAATAGGCAAAGGACATTGTTCAATCCATATTCCACCGACAAAGTAAAAACCCCAGGACATTTCAAGATAGATTTTCAGTTTAAACAACTCGAAGGGAATTAAAAGGGGATTTGTCTCTTTTTCCACTTGGACAGATTTAAGCAGACTTTGATGACTTTCACCTTGTTAGAGTCTATTATATTCTCATAGTTATTACTGGATATTCTGCTGAACTGATTTGAAGTGGCCTAAAGTCCTTTCTATCTACGCTTAAAAGAAAAGAAAAAAAAAAAAAAAGCCCACTTGGGTACCCTGGATTTATATCCATAGCTTTATTCTGGATTTTTAGATGTCCAATGAATGAATTTGTATGAAAAACCTAAAAAAATGTGACCCCCACTACAATGAATTTGTTAAAAACCCCACGAAACACCATCAACCATGTTTTGTCCTCCAAATAGGGAAACATATCTTTCAACATCTCAGCTGATCATCTATAAAAATAAAAAATAAAAAAAAAAGAAAGCATTGCAGCAGTACAAACATCATAATTCTCACCTTAGTGCTCAGAATAATTCTTAAGAGTTTGCATCACCAATTTGTTTATAAGCAGTACATACACAACCTGAAAAATTCTGATAGAATAACGAGGCGCCGAAAAAACAGCTTCATGTTCTCCATATCAGGAATTGAAACTGTTCATTTGATCAATACTTGTTTTATCTCAAACCTCTCATCTGATACACAGGATATTATTGAAGAGGAAGTAAAAGGTGGAAGACTTTTGTAGCGATGAGATCAAAAGAGAACATTTCTTTTTTATAATTTTCTTTTGTTCAAGTAACTTCAGTTGAAACCGACAAACTTTAGTTGCAATCCTCAACATCAATCAATTCAAATACATTTCCGCCACAAACATGCAACAGCCTGATTTTTCTTTAATTTTACGTGGTTTCGTTCAAGAAAGTGGTGTATGATTTTCTTTCACCCCCTGCTTTTCCTTCTTTTTTTTCTTTTCTTTTTGCATCATGGGAACATATTTTTCTCATGATGGCAATGTCATGTAAGTCTTACGTCAGACAGTTCATGTACATGGCCATTAGAAAATAAGTACTAAATGGAAAATTCACACTTCATAGGGATATAATGTTGTTATATAGTATTTGTGGAAAGATCATGAATAATTTTTTTTATCAATTACAGTGCTTTAGGATAATAAAATCAAACCGGACTTTTTTTAATTTAAAATGATTAAATTTTGAATTTTAATCATTGATCTAATATTTTATTAACAAATTAGGTGATTTTTGACATCTCAACTCTCTAAATTTGAGAAAATATGCATATGATATTTAAGCCAAATATCCAACTGCAATTATGGTTAATTTTCTATATTCTGCTGAATCGTATGTAACTTTCTTTCTTAAGATTTTGAGGAATAATTGCAATGTCTATTTTGATGAACTCATATAAATTGGCCAAATTGGTATCATTCATTTCCAAAATCAAATAAGCAAAAAAGAAAAGAAAAAAAAAAAAGACCTAACTTAAAACAACTAGAGCCTACTGAAAGAGTAAAAGAATATGTTTATAGTCAACTAAGTCCAACCATGATGTTTCTTTGGAGAGGCAAATTCTTACATGGAGACCTCAATATGGAGAAGGGAAAGACCTTCCCTGTCTAGCAAATAATAGGCCAAGCAAAAGAACAAGGAAATGAATGTTAAAAAACCATAGGGCATTGGACAGCGACGTTTCCCTCTCATGAGGGACTGCTACAGTACTGCTAGCATGGGTGTCTTTTTATCCAATACATTGTATCTTGCATTTCAATCTTGTTTGGTGAAGTGGATGATACTTTTTTGCTCTGCGTACTTTTGCAAAAGAATTTGCTTGTCCTACGGAACACTCCATCTTCAATCTTCAGTAATTTCCCATTCATGCAGGAAGGCTCATGGCATATTGGGGGATCTAATAAGCACAGATTGCTTGAACTTCAATTTTCCAAACCACAAAGTTAAAGCTTACAGGGCAATTGCCTCTATTTTTTTAATTTTCAAACCAAACTGAAGATTCCCCAAATAATCAATCCTTAATTATTCAGAAGGGACAATGATTATAAAAATGTAGAATTATGTGATCATAAGAACAAAATACTTACTATATTAGTACATTGTGTCTAGTTTACCAATAATGGCAGGTACAAGGATATGTTGACCCAAACACACACATGATGGGTGCAGCTGACTTGCATACAGTTTTCCTACATGCAAGATCTCTAGCCCACTAACTGGAAATTGAAGAAAAAAAAAACAAAACAGTCTCCTAGTTCTGATACAGTACATGAATAGCAAGGGTTATTAAAAAAAAAGTAAATCCACATCTACTATCATATTTAATGGTTACTATATACGATCTTGAAAACTGTTTAGGAATATCATGAAATGTATATAAAAACAAATGTAATTATGCATTCATTGTAAATATGCATTATTCAACAGTTTTTGACAAATGCATACCCAAAATTTGTTAAGCACACTGTATTCTTAATTTCGAGTTTGAATCATTTTATTGTTGTATGTCAAAGAAATTAAAAAGATAAAAAATAACGTGTGGTGATAATTACAAATTAAAAAATATAAAAATAACTATTAATGCTCATGTTTCAGGAGCTTATAACCTTTATTTAAAAGTCATTATCAACATATAACTTAAATCAATAACCATGTAAATATACTTCTCTAATAAGTTAAAGGAAAAAAATGTTTAATCAAATCTTGTCCTGTAAAGTCCAAGCTACCAAGTTCAACTTCTACTCCGTAAAAGAAGAAACAAAGAAAAAATACTGTAAATATGGCCTAAGTCTGAAAAGAGAAAGCAAAGAGCATATACATAGATGTGATAGATATGTATGGCTATCGTAATCCAATCACTTTGATCTTATATTCCACTAAGAAGATGTACTAGGCATGGCCCATTTTTATCAATGATCAGACAAGATCTTAAAATGACCAACATGCCCCTTCATGGAGTAGGACTAGGTGATCTGTGATAAATCTGATGTGGTGGTTCAACATGAACTAGAAAATCCCTTTTTATTATATTTATAAAATAAAAAACCATTTGTCGGAGTTGTGGAGATTGTGAGACCCACAGGTTTTTGTTCTTTAATCTTTGTCCAATTCTCCCAAAAAAAAAAAAACAAGTCACAATCTTTGTCCTAAAACTGAAGGGCTTGTTCCATTCTTCAGCAACAGGCAAGCCAACAGCTGCTCTCCTATTTTTGATTTGCTGTTTACATTTCTTCTCTTCTCCCATAAAAACAAACCACTTAAGTGTCATGATTTAAGACTCATCTTTCTCTCCTCTTTATAATGTTTTAGGTTTGCTTTTCTCTCTTTGTCGTTGAATAAACTCTTGTGCTTGGTAGGTTGTGCCGTTGAGGTAGATGGGCCTTGAACTCCACTCTAACATTTTAATGGGACTCTATCTCCTCTTTCAGTGCTCTCTTTGCCCCCATTTTTTGTGCTGTCTCGCATTTTAAGTTTTCTTTTTGGCCATTTTCTTTTTTCTTGTTTTAGGTTTTAATGCGAAAAAAATATAAGTTTTCTCCCTTTTAAGGCCATGGCAATTTGTTCTATGGGGTTTTTGTATTTTGGTTTTTGATTTTACACACTGGTTTTGCAGATTATCTGGTAAAAATGTTGGATTTATGTGGTATTCAAAACTTTGGCTGACTGTGGTTTTTGAGGTCTGAGCTCCCTTCACTCTGCAAAATTTCCATCTTTTTGAGATTATTGAGGTTGCTTGATCGTTAAGGTTTAGGTCCTTATATTTAAGATTTTCATTCAAGCTGTGGAAATTTGAAAATATTGGCTCCTTTTTTAAAAAAAAAATTTTTGGTACATAAAAGGATGGTCCTTGTTCAGTATAGATCTCTGAGATCGTTCTCTAGAAAATGGAAAATATTGAAGTGAAGTGATGGATGATAGTGAAATTTGTGATTTGTAGTTTATGTTTGTTGGATCGAAGAATGATGATTGAGAGATAGGGCTTGATTCTGGAGGTGGGTTGTGGTGAATTTGGTGTTGGCTAATTGTTGAACGAGGAAAGCATGGACAGAATGATTCAACCTCCATTGGTAAGTTAATTAGTCCATCCTTGCTGCTTTGAATTCAATCATATCATATGTTTGAAGAGACGTTATTTAATGGGTTTTTTGGTGTTAATAGCTAATGCTTGCGTTTCAAACTACTTGATGTGCTTTTGTCTGGGTGGTCCAATTCGTTCTACGTTAGATTTTTATCTTATCAAACTATATGGACTATTGTGATGGATTGTGTACCGTCCTTCTGTTATAGATGGTTTGACAATTCCTGGGTGAACTCTCTCTCAAAATTATTCTCCTGTAAACTGATTTGTTATATTACTGAAGGTATGGTGTTTTAGTGTGCGAGCACATATGTGGATGAAGTGATGAATATAATAACATTAGAAATGTACAAAGAAACATGTTTGCAGAAGTTACATCCTTCATGGCTTTGTACATCCAAACTTAAAAGTTGCTCTTTTTCTGAATCCTTGGGAATGGTAAGCGCTAAAATGTGAAACCAAAGATTTGACCAACTTAAAGGGGTTTTATGGGTTCTAATAATTGCTTTTATGTTGTCATCTAGGTTTAACAATAAAAGATGTCATAAATTGAATATTCAACATTATTAGCTAGATTATACATGCTAGAATTGTTCTCTATCATCAGAAATAAAGGATATCATTGGCACCTGGGTGGCTTGGTATGCATGTCTTTCTTGATGCTGATACCAGCCTGGTGCATCTTACAAGTTTCCTGTTACTATAGTAAGAACATATCTAGGAAAAAAAAACCCTCATCAATTGTGAATGCTCTTGGCAGGTTGATACAACGGCTTGCTTATGTAGAGTAGATGCTGGACTCAAAACTGTTGCTGGCGCAAAAAAATATGTGCCCCGTACAAAACTCTGTCTCCAACCTGATATTAAACCATCCATTCATCCAACAACGAACAAGGGTGCACGCGGTGATAGGAGCCGTCACCAATCTCCTTTGCTCCCAGGACTTCCTGATGATCTTGCTATTGCCTGCCTAATACGTGTCCCACGGGTTGAGCACAGAAAGCTCCGTCTAGTCTGCAAAAGATGGTGTAGACTTTTGTCTGGTAACTTCTTTTATTCACTCCGTAAGAGCCTTGGAATTGCAGAAGAATGGATATATGTCATTAAGAGAGATCGAGATGGAAAAATTTCTTGGCATGCCTTTGATCCCATATACCAGCTCTGGCAGCCACTTCCTCCAGTTCCTAAGGAATATTCTGAAGCCCTTGGGTTTGGATGTGCTGTCCTCAGTGGCTGTCACCTTTATTTGTTTGGTGGTAAGGATCCATTAAAGGGTTCAATGCGACGAGTCATATTTTATAGTGCCAGGACAAATAAATGGCACCGTGCCCCAGATATGCTTCGTCGAAGACATTTCTTTGGTTCTTGTGTTATAAACAATTGCTTGTATGTTGCTGGTGGAGAGAACGAGGGGGTGCATCGGTCATTGAGGTCAGCTGAAGTCTATGATCCCAACAAGAATAGATGGTCTTTTATTTCAGATATGAGCACAGCAATGGTGCCCTTCATTGGGGTTGTATATGAGGGTAAGTGGTTCTTGAAGGGGCTTGGATCTCACCGACAAGTGATGAGTGAGGTCTACCAACCAGAAACTGACAGCTGGTACCCTGTCTATAATGGAATGGTTGCAGGCTGGAGGAACCCGTGTGCTTCCTTAAACAGGAACCTTTATGCTTTGGACTGCAAGGATGGTTGTAAGCTAAGGGTTTATGATGAAGTGACTGACTCTTGGAGTAAGCATATTGACAGTAGGATACATTTGGGCAATTCTCGAGCTTTGGAAGCAGCAGCTCTTGTTCCACTTAATGGAAAACTTTGCATCATTCGAAATAATATGAGTGTATCTCTGGTTGACGTTTCAAAATCTGATGATCTGAGAGGAGCAGCTGCTGAACATTTATGGGAAACTATAGCAGGGAAGGGTCAGTTCAAGACCTTGCTTACAAATCTTTGGTCAAGCCTTGCTGGCAGGAACCGGCTGAAAAGCCACATTGTTCACTGCCAGGTTCTCCAAGCATAATGACAGTAAATTTTTCCAATATAGGGTTGGCTCTGTAGTTCACGCCTTTTTGGTATCTCTTGAATGTGATGGGGTTAAGGATCCAGTAGCTTTCCAGGATGACGCTTCTCATGCACGTAAATCCTTCATTGTAGGTTCCTATCAATGTCAAAGGGTTGGATATACCACGAGGTATGAGGTGGTATTAATGGGGATTTCTGTTTTTGCTAGATTGTTAGGGTTACAAATATTTATATAATACACGGTTGTTACATGTAGAAAATTGAAAAGCTCGTTCACTTTGTTCTTTAGCTCTTCAAATGATTGCAAACCTGCGACTGCCTCATTCATTTTATCTTTCACCATTGAGGTTAGTGCAACAATCCATCTTTCGTCGTCCCTGTATGGGTTTGAAAACCTAGATGTAAACTTAACAGGTATAAAGGGAGCAGTTGGTGCCTTGATAGGACAATGTAGTTAGCACATAACTGGCTAGGCACAACTATTGGGAAAGAGTATGGTTTTGCCATATTAAGTATGAAATTCAGTCAACTTCATGAAACATTAAATCTTAGGCCAATGAACTCAAGCAATCAGAGCACAAGTTTCCACGGTATACTCACAATAGCATTCGTAAAATATAACCTGTATTTATCAAAATTAATGTTCCTAACGAATCATTATGGCTTTGATTCTTCGGTGAGACTTAAACTGCTGCTATCGTAATAGATGAGCCACAATGTGATGAAAAGAGGAAAAATGCAGAGAAAATACCAAAGGTATCCATGTAATGAACAGTATGAAGCTGATTACCCGCCAAGTACACCTTGCTTTTGAATCCTGTTAAGCAAAACACTGCCAGATTGAGAAATCTGAGAATTGAAATGGAGTCCAGCAAGATCATCAAAGATAAAAGGATACATCCTAGGCGATACCGAAATGGCAAATGCGACTGTCCAGCTATTTGGACCTACTAGGGTGTGAGAAACATCTTCCGCTGAACTAGTGATGGCCCTAAAATTGCTTTATTTTCAATTTGTTTTTCAACTTTGTTTCTCATAAATGGATACAAAAGAATCTTATACAACAATACTAACAAAAGGAATCAAAATGCTCTCCCTACAAATCCATAACCTACAGAATTTTGCTATTTGCGCGTTGTACACCAACAATCTTATGCTGTTCCATATCCTGATAAGTGAGATTGTGCAAGTGTGAAGCACATCTCCTTCTGCTTCTTGTATTCGTTATACCGCAAGAAGAAATAACCAAGATAATCAAAATCGATGGGAGACATCCTTGCCTATAATTAGCAGAGAAAAAAGAAAAAAGATATGACTTGGATATGTCATGACTTATTGGGCTTCAAAGCATTGCTGGAGACTAGATATACCTGGATTAGGGCCCATAAAGCCCAATACAAGTGTGAAGCTAACATGAATGTGTTTGTCTCGACATAGAGAGCTTCAAGATCTTTTTCTGATACCTGTGGTTAACAAAGGAGCTTTCAATGTTGTTACTTTATCAAATTGGAAACATGACATACTATTAGTTTCAACTCTAAATATATCTCAAGTACAAAACTTCTTTTTTTTTTCTGAACTCACAAAGGCCAATATGTAAGCAAGACTAATACATAGCAGTGAAATCCTTATGCTCCATTATATTTGGTGCTTTTACATTTTGCTTTTCGCTATGTGTCCCTTGTTTTCAGTTCATTTTTATTTTTTGCTTTTCATTTTCAATTGAAAAAAGCAAAAAACAAAAGCACCAACAAATTGGAGCTTGGCAATCTTCAATTTGTTTTTCATAGTTTCATCGTAAAAGTCTTGAACGATAAGCATATGATTGTTTGCACACATGCGATAAAAAAGGTTAGTTACAGAGAGTCCAAGTTGTGGTTCTAAGACAACCACATAATAATGAAGAAAAAAAAAATCTATTTGGATCTAGTATTATGAGGGCTGCCAGTCAGATCAGTCATGAGTGGCTAATAGCAGCTAGAAATGGTCACATCAATTTAACATCCCAAGAATTACATCCTCAACGGAGCCTTTAGCTGGTAAATGGCATACTTAAGCCATAGCAAGAAAATATGCAGTTTGCACTACTCATCTCAAGACACAAAAATAATTTCAATTAACACACACACACACCAGGAAACAGGATACAGTAACTGAAACTCCTATTAGTCATGAGATAAAATAACCTTCCACATGGCTCAAATAATGCACATACAATTGATTCAACCATTGTAAGCTGTAACAAACTAATATATTCTATTTCAGGGGCAATCTTTTCAAACTTGAAACCTTATTGTTCAAACCACAAAGCACCCAGTCAGATACCCTTACATACCTCATATGGTTTTTCAGGTTGCAAATAATGCCTGAAAAAATGATGTTGTTCATCTTTACTAGGATACCTACATTAACACCACGTTAAATCATCAGTAGGTACCAATCTATTCAACTATTCGACATGGTTACACAAGAAAACAAAGATAATTTAAAGCAGAAAATATAGAGAAAGCATACAAACTATAATCACAGTCATAGCCTGCATATTCATTGAAGTGATTTCCAATGTCAAAGCCTCTGTAATTGTATGATCCGTACTCAAAATCTATGAAGTAGAGCTTATCTGGACATTGACGGGATAAACAGTTAGATCAATAAACACAAAGAAATTAGAACAATTTAAAGGTAAGCTGAAGAAACTATTCTTGTATTCCATCCAGCAATTAGGAACCGTGACAGTATCACATTCTTCTGTCTAGAGGTTTTGATTTCATAAGACATCCTATCCTATGTGTTTATCATGGTGACAATGCCAGTGTTTTTGTTAAGTAATAACATTAATAATAAACTTCTCATAATGATAAAGCCAGATTGTCAACCTACTAATGTCTTGTCGAATAGAACATCCTTCATATGTATCAATTTGTCATACTACACTCTGCTAAGAACATGTTTTGAGTTGTGTTCATATCACATGACAACATAGATGCTACTTATTGGATATTGGCTAGTGCCCAGTGGACACAGTTTCAACTAATACAATTTGAAAATACACACAAACAGATGCATTTGATGGTTCTTTTCTTTATTTTTTGGTTCTTACATGCTCCAAAGTGTGTGACAATCACATCTAAATCGTATTACACAAACTTATTTTGATTGGAAATAGACAATGTTCAGAATTAGACTAGAAAGGTCTATGGGGCTTCATGATCGATCTCTTTAAAGATGCTTTATCTTTAATAAGAAAACAATAAAACCCAGTAGAGATAACGTTTTTTTCAGGATTTACTGCATTGCCAGCAGCCTACGCCTACTAAGTCTCATATTGACATCTTAATGTTCCCATATCCATTGTAGTGTTTTGTTTTTAAGAACTATCATGCAATAGTTTTTTGATATCCTTAATGTCTAACCAGCAGTATTGGTTCATTTGTCACTGCACATAATTTGCTAATCTATGGATTATAAAAAGAGCAAAAATCAAACCCAATATCAACATACAAAAATTTCTATGGTAAAGGCACTGCACCCATTCTGATATCTAAATCTATGCCTATTGAGTCTCCTATTGACATCATAATATTCTCATACCTATCACACAATAGTGTTTTGTCTTTGAGAACAACAGTGCAGTGGTTTTTAAATATCCTTAATATGTCCAAGTCTAACCGACAATATTGGTTCATTTGTCACTAAATATAATTTGCTTATCTATGATTGTAAAAAAAGCAAAAATCAAGCCCCATATCAACATATGCTAAATTTATATGGATAAAGACACTGCACTCATCTTGAAATATATGAGTGAAAAAGTGAGCGTGTGCTTGTGCCACTCAAATGTGTGTGTTTGACTATGAGAGAGAGAGAGAGAGAGAGAGGTAAATTCATGTAGAATACAGGATGTGTCTACTGCAATCGGGAACCAACCGAAACATGAATAGTACGTATGGATGTTCTTCCAGAGTCATCAAAACAAGAGGAAAGATGGCAGGCTAGCAGATTGAACAAACTCAAAATTATAAGTTCAGACGTACCATGTTCATCATTAAGCATCAAATTTCCAGAAAGTAAATCATTGTGAGCAAACACCACCGGAGCATTAAGAAGGCCCGTCAATTCCTGGTCCATTATCAGGAGACACTCATAAACGGGGATAAATTACTTGATCTTACAAGAATCAACATATAATCAAAATCAATGACTGAACAGCACGTGAGCAAGAGTTACCGAGCCAATAAACATGTAACACCTTTCCTTCATCAGCAAGAGATGAATCAACCAAAAATAAAAGGAGATCTTACCGTCAGCTGCGTAACTTCCTTATGCAATTCCTTAAACGAAATTTTCTCATATATCCTCTGTTTATCAATATCTTCAAACTGGAGAGTAGATGCTGCAACAGAAGACCCTGAGCATCAGATATACATCATGTACTGATAGGCAATAATCTTGAGAAGAAACTAAAAAAGCCCCACACTAATGAGGACCAGTGGCAATATCAGACTGTAATCAGCCCAAACTCCAAACAAACAGTGCTCTCTTAAAAGCCAAAACTTGAAAATAAACAAAAGAAAGAAGACGAAGATTGAAGTCACTGCAACTGTAACATGGTCCATTTCAAATTTATTTTAGCCGCAAAAACAGCCAAACAACACCATGTGGAAGAAGTTGGTACTCAAACCTTTCTCAAAGAACTTGAAGATGTCAACCCATAGCTGAGGTTCTTTAGAGCCCGGAATTTCCACTTGATGGAATCTACGAAGTTGCTTTGCAATTTCAGCAGCCAGCTTTGGCTTCCTCATGTCTGTCAAGGGGAAAGATAGGTTTTATATCAGTACACAGCTTGCAGGCCCAATGATAATTTGCACTTGAGTTAAAGACAAATTGTCAGTATTAAAGGTAGTAATTACTTGCCAAGAAGTCAATGCCTTCATAAATTAAATTAACTATACTATTTGTGTAGGCCCAAATATCGATATAGTCATGTAATAAATAGGACACTAAAAGCTTCAAGAGAGGAAGAGAACTTTCTTAATGATGCTGCCAACATAGAACATGGAATTAAGATGCTCGAAGGCATAAACCCTCTAAAACTACTGATGTCTAAAGAATACAACTTCACGTGCAAGTCTTACTCCCATTGATGATCTCTCTAATGCTTACCTGATGGAGTTAGGGTACGTGCATTTATAAAAGATTGCACCATGCCATTTCCAAAAACTCCAAGCAACTTGGCACCAAATCCGGCAGCCGAGAGGTATTTGATTGCCTAAACAGAATATGAAGTGAGCAAATACAAAGTAAAGAATGGAATGAAAAGGCTCGTAAATGAGGAAGATGGTAATGAAACCAAAAAGGAAAAGGTAGGGGTGAATTTTAACTAGCAAGAATTTAGCTTGGCAGAACATCAAAAAGAAATACGATACCATCATTTTGAATTTCCACCATATTTGACAATTATTTAGCACATCCTTCACCAGCCTCAATTACATGCATGTAAGCAAGATGTTTTGAAAGAAATCATAATTATAAACCAACAATTCCTTTGGTTAAATTAGATTACTTCTTCATTAAGTCATTGATTGCTTAGTTGACCAAAAAACTTCCAGAGAAGATACAAACCCTGGAAACACAACACTAAAAGAGTTATGCAAATGTGTTTTAACTTCAAGCAAGGTTTTAACAATTTGAAGATTATATTATACACACCAATACCTTTCAGCTAAAAAGTACAATTTTCCGGAAGACACTTTTTCTACAGAAAATTAGTATGGAACAAATATAAGGGGAATACCTGTAATTCACGTTCACGATTGATGACATATTCTGTGTTAGGTCCATATAGTCTAACTGTTACAGCCACAGTATCACCATTTTCTTCCTTCACAGAAACCTTTAGCACTGCACCACCAAATTATTCAGGCTTAGCGAATAAATTGCCACAAAATCAATCAAACATAGCAAAGAGAAGAAAACCAGAGAATATAAAACAAACATAAACATCAAAAGGGAACCAAATGACGGTTTTGCAACCTCGTAGTACGGACCTTCTTTTTTCCCTTTTCTTTTTGTTTACCAATTTTAAACGCAATAGCTGTAAATTGAGTTGAAAAAATGGATCTAAAAAAAAACTACTAGCAAATTAACTCTTTCTCTACAGAGTGAAAATTTTCCATAAAAAATCTAATAAACAGCAAAAAGCGAAGTGCTCACGAAGATTCGTGATGCCGCCAGATACAGTCTCGACTGAGAAGCAAGAATCGTTCAGCTTCGCCCATTTCCCAAACAGATCCTTACACAACTCGCTGCAGATATTTATAAACCGAGAAAAACGTCATAAGCCAAAATAAATTCAAAATTCCTTACGTTTGAGCTGGTCATAGTCAGCTTAAAAACAATGAAATAAATATTGAAGATCCGCCAAAATCCATATGAAAATGAAACCCTAAAATAAGCTAAGCTAAGAGCTCGAAATGAAATTTAAAAAAAAAAAAGGAAGAGAAGAGAAGAGAATAAAACGAACATGACGCGAGGGGCCATGACGGAAAAAGAAAGAGCGGAATCGACAGAGAGAGGAGAGTGAGGGATTGATTCGTCGACAGTTGAATTGCTGTTGTTTTGCTTAGCTTGGCTTGCTGCGACATCCATGGCGGTCCAGATCTTCTGCGTTGCACCCATTGGTCTGTTTTTTTAATGCTTAAAAAGCTTATATTCGAGAAAGTGTGGCTAAAGTTCGTAAGAAGGGAGACTTTTTTGGGGGCTCCACTCATAACGGGAAAGGGTAGTTTGACAATACGTTACCAACAATGAATTTTTAAATCAGTATTCTTTAATTGCTTTTTAGATCATTTATTGCTCAGACTTTGAAAACTCAGCCATGCAAACTTTCAGGGTCCGGACGCAAACGATCCAACTAACAAACAATAAAGAAAGCGCCTTCTCAAATATCAAACAAAGCGCAATCTTAGACACTAAAACAAAGCCAAAGGCCTAAGCCTTAAGCCTCATTATTTTAATCGTAACTTTTGGCCAAAAAGAAAATCGTGGTGGGGGGCGATTGACGAGATCAAGATTCGTGGTGACGGTTTAATGCGTCACTTTTCCAATCTTACCGTACACGTGTCACTCTGCAAATATCTGATTATAATTTTTTTATTCATATTTTTAATCACGTGGAAAACATGTACCATAAATTTAATCTTTTATATTCCCTCAATAAATTCAGACTAGACGGTATGTAATAATCGTATTCCTTTTTTATCCTCATATAATTTTTATTTTTTTTGCTTTGAATCCAATTTTTCAAAATTTTAAGTCAAATTACCTTTAAAAATAAAAACTTAATCAATATACAAAAAATAGTTAAATTCATTCATCATAAAAAAAAAAAAATGAATGCTTCATTAATTTCATATTTACCTATTTTATTATTCACATTGATCATATGTAATTTACAAAAGAATTTTTAACATTATTTTTTATTTAATTTTTTTAATTTTAAAAAAGTGAGGTATATTGTAGTTCAGTACTATATATATATTAGTATTATGTGAAACTTAGGCCTAGTTCAATGTTTTAGTTGTTTTGAAAATTAGCAATAAAAAAAATAAAAATTATGTTTATACTTGGACAAATTAATTTTAACTTAATTCTACTTTTTTTACTTACCTTATCTGATGACAATTTTACTTTACTTCGCAATGGATTATTTTCATTCTAATTTAATAAGAGTAATTTTTTATTATGTTTAAGGTATTTAAATCATGTTTGATGTATAGTATTATTGATAAAATAAAATAATAATTATTTTATATCTGTTTGATTTGTATCAAAGATAATAATAGGGATTGCAACGAGGATTAGTATCCTCTTAATATAGTTATTCAATCCTTTTTAAGTATAAAGAATTATTTTTAATCCATAAAATTAAATTTATATGTCTAATTATATTCTTAAAAATTATATCAATAATTTTAATTATATAAACTTTGAAGAAGGATAATTTTAACAAGTAAATAAAATATTATATCGTAATCCTTATATATATCAAATATAAAATAAGATAATATTATTTAATTTAATCTTATTTATAATATTATCTTATGCTATCATGTTTAATACATAAGATTATTGATATAATAGAATAATAATTACTTTATATCATATTTGATTTATACCTAAAGAGAGTGATAAGGAATAAAAAAATTAATATTCTTTTGACATAAGATTATTTAATCCTCCCTAAGTAAAAATGATTATTTTTAATCAATAAGATTAAACTTACATGTTCAATTATACTCTTAAAAATTACATCAATAATTTAAATTGTATAAACATTGAAAAAGATAATTTTGACAAATAAATAAATTATTTTATCTTAATCATTGTATACATCAAAAACCAAATAGCATGACATTGTTTAATCTAAATATTTATATTTGATACACTATCAGTGAATTAGATGATATCATCTCATTAATAAAGTGAATTAGATAATACCACATCATTAGTGAATAACTTTTTAAAAAAATATTAATTTTTGTATATATATTTTAAGAGCTAATATTTACTTATTAATGAGATAACATTATTTGATTTAATGATAGTGTATAAAGTATAGTTGTTAATTTCATTTCAATATCGATCGATACGATTGATACACTCCAATTATACAAAAATACGTTTACATCTAAGGATGATTTTTCATACCGAATTTAGTACTGGGTAATATCGGTTGTTTTTGTTAGTTTCAACATATTTTGATAATTTTGATAAAATAATATGTTTCGATCGATATGTGAATGTGAAATATATTTTATAATTTTTAACTTATTTTTTGTTATTTAATTATTTTTAACCAAATAAAAATTAAATTAATTGATAAAATAACCCTTAAAAGTTAAGTTTTTTTATTTTTTTATTTTAATTTTTGTATACTTTATTTTTTCAAACCAAAATCTATAAAGATTTTTTTTTTTCAAGAAAACAATTATACTCTTTTTATAAAGTTTAACAATCACAAAATCTCAGTTAATTTTTTGTCATCTTTTTATTTTTATCTTAATATTTATACGAAAAATACTTATTTAAATATCATATGATCAGATTAAATATTTAAAAATATTATGAAAATTTAATGATATTATTTCTTATGCTTTTAAACTTATTTATTTGATTTTTGAATATGCTGCATATTTATTTTGTAAATTATTAATAATGTTATAATGTACAAGTTCGTATATGTTTATAAAAATATTTATACTAAATTGAAAAATCCAAAATAATATGTTGAAACAATTGGTATCAGTATGTACCATATTTAAAAAAAAAAAAAAACTAAAATGTTATGGTATGATATTAATAACCTTGGTATAGAGTCTATATACTGGCATTATATAAAATATAAACTTCTAATTTAATTATATATATAATATCATGTTATCATATCATAATCTTATGTATCAAATATGACCTTAGATCATGTTTAGTGCATAGGATGATGAAGAGGATATGATAATAATCATTTTGTATTATATTTGACTTCTATCTAAAAAAAAGATAGGATAAAATGATTCAATATTCCAAAGTGAAAAGATTATTTTTAATCAATGGGATTGAATTTAAATATGCTATTATAATTTTAAAAATTACATTAATAATTTAAATTGTATAAATTTTAAAGAAAGATAATTTTGAGTAATAAATAAATTATCATATCTTAATTTTTATACACATCAAATATAAGATATAATAGCATTATTTAATTTAATTCTATTCATAATATCATCTTATCCTATCTTATCATAATCTTGTGTATCAAACACATCCATAGGCATATTTGATGTATAAGATAATAAATAGGATATGATGGTAATATTCATATATTATGTTTAGTTTGTATCTAAACAAATAGATAAAATTGTAAAAAGGATTAATCATCTACTTGATGTAGAATGATTCAATCCTCCAAAAATAAGGAGGATTATTTTTAATCAATGGGATTGAACTTATATATCTTATTATATCATTAAAAATTATATTAATAATTTAAATTGTATAAATTTTGAAAAAAGATAATTTTAACTAATTAATAAATTATCTTATCATAATCCTTACATATATGAAATACAATATAATATAACATTATTTAATCTAATACAAATCATAATATTATTTTATCATATTCTATCATAATTCTAGGCACCAAACACATCCTTAAATATCGTATTGCCTTAAGGTATATATAAAAATAAGATATTTTATTTTTTTATTAAATATATGTATATTATATTAATAATTTTATTATTTAATATTAAATTTTAAATTATTTTAATAATATAACAAATTATAATATAATTTGTATTAAAAAATCATTAAAATAATATAAAATATATATTTCAAGATGAGTCGAATATTAGTTAATACTTGGCAATCTATAATAAAACCAAAATGTATTTTTTATTTTCGTGTTGACATAAATTATAATACATAATTTTTGTATAAAATATAATACAAATAAGTAAATTGTAAATATTTTATACGATACAAATGCATAAATTATCATACTTACATAATAAAATATAATTTTTTGTTGAATTCGAGTATTAAAAAGAATACTAAAATAATTAAAAACCCTTGCACTGTTTTAAAAAATCTAAATAAATCTTTATCTATCTAATTAAGCTCTTAAAATTTTATTTTTCTCTTAGAAACCCGTATTTTGATCATGTGATCTACACATGCTTTAACTTTTTGACATGTTGGCATTAATTCAACGTACGAAAAGATGACATGGAATAATTGGCTGATGTGGCAACTTGATTTAATAAAAAAATTGACATGTTACATGAATGAAATTAAAGACAAAATAAAACAAAAAAATATGTTCATTTTTTACTAAAAAGAATGATAAAGCACACACTAAAAATAATTTTGCTTAAGTTTCCATCATTTTCCATGTCCAGAAGTGAATTTTTTTTGTTAAAATTAAAATTTTTAACAAGAAAAAAAAAACACCTACTTTCGTAATGGAATTTCGTGGTCGAGTAGGGTTTAGATCCTCTACTAGTGCTCTTGGTCTTGGACTTCTAGTTGCGAGTCAAACTAGGAGATCAAAGTGCAAGTGAATTTTAGACCCGGAATCATCACCCTCGATAGTCCCATCGATGATTGGAAAAACATTGATGAGTTTGAGTTCTCTCCCTTCCGTATTATAGTTGTTGTTAGTTTAGAATCCGATATATTTTACATTAAATAAAAATTTTAATTAATGATAAATTAAATTAAATTTTGTATTAATTTTATTTATATTTTAAATTATTATATTTTAATAAAAATAATTATTAAATGATAAATTATCATAATTATTTGAATATAAATAGATTTAATAAAAGTCATAATTATATAAAAAATCATAATTATTTAAATAAAAATTTATATTTATTTATTTATTATAAATAAATATTTTAATATAATTATTTCACTATTTTTTATTAGAGAGTTTGAGGTTTTGTTGTATCCTAGAGATATAATTATCTTTAAAAAAATATTATTTATACTTTAAAGCCAAAATGAATTTTTATTATTTTTATTCTCTTATTTATTTTTTTTAACAATTTAAAAGCAATTATAAAAAAAATTTTATATTTTGTATTTATGAAGATGTAAGAGAAAGAAATTTTGAAATGCATCGTGAAATTCGAATTCTTGAAATAATTATAGATAAAGAGAAATAATTTTCTATTGTGATGTCATATAATTTTTATTCAAAATTAACATGTCATTAATTTATTTTTTGATTATGTTGAATGAATCCAATTTCATGATTGTTTTTCATATTACTTGGGCTTTTGAAATTTATTAGTTATGCGTTTCAAAAGTTTCACTAGAATGAATTTTTCAAAATGATGGCCAGTCTTAGTATAAAATTAATAGGATAGATATATTGACATGATTTATTTATGAAATTTTATGTTACTATTTCAAACAGAAAGTTTGGCCAATAAATTGGATTAAATGTGATATTCAAATTTAAATGAAAAGGATACGTCATTAATAACATTAAAAGCTATTGTAATTATCAATAATTTGAAGTCAATCC